GGATGAGCAGACTCTATCGACAATATTGATTTAAATGACCTTGAGTAACTACATAGATGCCAGTTGAATTTTCCCTCTACAGTATAGTCAATGAGGCAAAGCAAAACATACATAAAACACAAAACCCCCAACACAAAAAAAAAAATCACACACACACACAAAAAAACACCAAAACAAAAAAAAACCCACACACAAACAACAAAAAACAAAAAAAAACAAAAAAAAAACAAACAAAAACAACACACACCAAAACAAACAAAAAACAAACACAAAAAAAACAAACAACAACACACAAAAAAAAAACAAAACCACACAAAAAAACACAACAAAATAAAAAACAAACAACAACAAAAAAAAACAAAAACAAAAACATACATACAACACACACACCCACAACAATAAAAAAAAACACACACACACACAAACCAACAAACACAAACACACACACACACACACCCACAAAAAACACAAAAAAAACAAAACACAAAAAAAAACAAAAATATAAAAACAAACACACACAAAAAAAAACAAACACAAAACAACATAATACAAACAAAACTACACACATAAAACACACATACAAAAAAAAACAACAAAAAACAAAACAAAAAAAACACACACAAAAAAAACAAAAAACAACAAACAAAAATATAAATAAAAAACATACACAAACAACAAACAAACAAAAAACACAATAACAACAAAAAAAAACACACAAAAAACAAAAAAAACAACATACAAAAAAACAAACATACATAAATACAACATACACACACACACAACAACAAAACTAAACTAAGAAACAGCACGAATTCTGGCTCTCAAAGACCTGTTACTGTGCCTTCAAAAAGTCCACCTCTACTCCACTCATTAATCTAACTTAGTAGCACTTGTCTGAGCTCTTTAAAGACACCTTTCCACCCCACAGTCAGTCAGACGCCAACTACTACCATGGGCAAGACTAAAGAGCTGTCAAAAAAACCAGAGACAAAATTGTGGACCTCCACAAGGCTGGAAAGGGCTACAGGGCAATTGCCAAGCAGCTTGGTGAAAACAGATCAACTGTTGGAGCAATTGTTAGAAAGTGGAAGAGGCCAAAGACGACTGTCAGTCTCCCTTGGACTGGGGCTCCATGCAAGATCTCACCTTGTGGGGTATCACTGATGATAAGAAAGGTGAGGAATCAGCCCAGAACTACAAGGGAGGAGCTGGTCAATGACATGAAGAGAGCTGGGACCACAGTTTCAAAGGTCACTGTCGGTAGAACACTACGCCGTCATGGTTTCAAATCATGCATTGCACGGAAGGTTCCCCTGCTCAAGTCATCACATTTCCAGGCCCGTCTCAAGTTTGCCAATGACCATCTGGATGATCCAGAGGAGGCATGGGAGAAAGTCATGTGATCGGATGAGACCAAAGTAGAGATTTTTGGTCTAAACTTCACTCGTCATGTTTGGAGGAAAAAGAAGGATGAGTTGCATCCCAAGAACACCATCCCTACTGTGAAGCATGGGGGTGGTAACATCATACTTTGGGGGTGCTTTTCTGCAAAGGGGAAAGGACAACTGCACTGTATTAAGGAGAGGATGAATGGGGCCATTTATTGTGAGATTTTCAGCAACAACCTCCTTCCCTCAGTCAGAGCATTGAAGATGGGTCGTGGCTGGGTCTTCCAACATGACAACGACCCGAAGCACACAGCCAGGATAACCAAGGAGTGGCTCCATAAGAAGCATATCAAGGTTCTGGAGTGGCCTAGCCAGTCTCCAGACCTAAATCCAATAGAACATCTTTGGGAGGGAGCTGAAACTCCATGTTGCTCAGCGACAGCCCCGAAACCTGACAGATCTAGAGGAGATCTGTGTGGAGGAGTGGGCCAAAATCCCTGTTGCAGTGTGTGCAAACCTGGTCAAGAACTACAGGAAACGTTTGACCTCTGTAATTGCAAACAAAGTCTTCTGTACCAAATATTAACACTGATTTTCTCAGGTGTTCAAATACTTATGTTCAGCAGTGCAAGACAAATACATTTTTTAAAAATCATACAATGAGATTTCCTGATTTTTTTTTTTAAATTTGTCTCTCAGAGTGGGAATGCACCTACAATGTGAATTTCAGACCCCTCCATGATTTCTAAGTGGGAGAACTTGCAAAATCGCAGGGTGTTCAAATACTTCTGTTCCTCACTGTATATATATATATATACTTGAGGTACAACTTGCAAGACATAGGTCTATCCAAGTCGCAGCTGAAGTAGTGCATGCACTACTTTAGAAATCTGTGCGGCTCCAGTCAAGTCAGAATCGCACTGATATGACCGCTTTAATTATGGACAATAAGGTGCAAGTTGCCATGCAATTTGCAAGTCACAGGGCATGGCAAATCAAATGGCAAGTCACACCCTACATGACTAAGGTGTTAGTGAGCAAGTTTAAAATACATGCTAACAATTAAATATTTTAGTGTTTGGGTTTAGATCTACTTTAGGGTCCATGCACACTGGCTTAAAAAAATGCTGCTTCTACGAGAGTTTTGTGTTTTGTCTGTAGAAGCAGCTTGATGTTCTTCTATGTGTTCATGCACATTAGGACGTTTAGTGGCAAATTTTAAGCTCAGCATTTAGAGGCAGAAAAAAACACTTCTGTTTTGCATTTTTAAGAATATTTATAGTTTATAGCATTCTTCCACTTGATCACAGTTCTACCAAAAAATAAATAAATTAATAAAAATAAACAGTGTGATGCACTAGAATCGGCGCATTGGTATAGTTTACTCCTGACACACATCAGTGGCCATGCGATCGAGTGTTGCTGGCTGGTATGAATGACAGCCCTAAACATGAAAATGGTTCTAAGGCAGAAGGTTGTCTTATCTTAATGCATTCTCTGCATGATGGTAAAAAACCTTCTGCATGCAGCTCCCCCCACTAGCCCCACTTGTACTTACTGAGCCTGATCTCGATTTAGTAATGTGCATTAGAGCAGCAGCTCTCTCCACTCTCTCCTTCCACATTAGCTAAGATACAGTAGTGGAAGCCACTGGCTCTTGCTGCTGTCAGTCACAGCCAGGGAGGAAAGAGTGGAGATATTGCTGTCCTCACATGACCCTTTTTCTTTTTCCTTCCCTTTCCCTTTTTGCTTTTTGTAATCTATTGTTTTGAAACTGTAATAAAAATGGATTAAGTAAAAAAGAAAATGGAATGTTTTCCTCTGTGGTATTGTGAACCCAGCCTTTGCATCTTTACATCCATTTGTATGCACATCGGTGGATGTGCATTTCATTTTCAGGTGTTTTTACCCTATATTCCATCTCATTGCTTTCTTTTGCCTTTTCTGAGTTGTGTTTATTCACATTTTTCATGCATTTGTGTGCATTGCAGTGTGAAATAAAATGCAGACCTGCTACAGATTTTCAACCAGCTCTGCACTGCACAGGAGACCAACATTTTAAACTGACCATACACTATACAATCTGACTAAACAAATTCTGTAGATTAACCAAAAATATATATAATAAGAAGACAAACGTAAACAATATTTGTATCCATTCAGGCAGGCCCTTACACTACATATTTGTTGGGAGATTATACATTGTATTGCCACCTTAGGTGTGTACAGGGCAGGCAGCAAACAATGGTCGTCTGTGTGCTCCTGCAAAGACCTGCACAGGTATCTGCATGTAGCATGAACAAGGCAAGATGTGTATGTAATACACGATAAATCACATCTGTGCATTCACATCTGTGGTTTGCTCTACTGATGTTCGTTATAATGGCTTTTGATAAGAAAGGAAATATGTTGATAAATGACAATGCACCTTCCTAAATGAAATAGCAAAGCATATAAACGCAGATTCATGTGCATCAGTTCATGGGATGTCTGCTGCATTTCCCTGCACGATGGTGGAATAAATTTGTTTTAAAAATGCGCAGAAATGCATCAAAGCACAACCATTACATTAAAAAAGCATATAAAAAATAGATTGTAAGCTCTAACGAGCAGAGCCCTCTGTTTCCTCTTGTACCAAACTGTATTGTTACTGTAACATCTACCTTCATTTTGTAAAGCTCTGGGCAAACTGTTGGCGCTATATAAATCCTGTATTATAATAATAGTGTATGAGCATTAAAATTCCAAATAGCTCAAATAGTGTCTTGTGATAGTATATTTTACATTGATACACATGTCTTTGTCTATTTACCAACAAGAAGAAAGTCAACATTTGTATTCACAATCATAAGATCACAAAGTTACTCTGTATCCAGCATGACACCATACTTTACTCTGCTATTCCTTTAAAGTGGTATTAAACCCAAAAGCCATCATTTAATATATTGCAGCTTACCAATTCTTAAATGAGATGTCTGCAGTTGTTTTCTTAAGTGTTCTTTCCTATATTATCACCTAGAAATCTGGCCAGTAAGTCTGTTGTTTTTCAGCAGATCAAGTTCTCCTGCAGTTACAGGGTTGAGACAAACCATTTACCACTGGCAGTGGGGCTTACAATTGTCAGCTTTTATTTATGTAAAACCTTTATCCCAAAAAGGAACAAAACTGTTGCTGTAACTGCTAATTGTTAGCTGGAGTTTGACTTCAATTTGTTAGTATATCTAAATCTGCTAGTACATTTAACACTGCCCCCAGACTGACCACACTGCTGTCAAAACATGTCTCTTGTGCTCCTTCATCCAGAGTGGAGGCATTTTAATATAGAAGGTGTGTTACTGGCCAGATCACCAGGAGAAAACAGAGGGGGAAAGCCTAAAAAAAGAAATGGAAGGAAGCCACCACATCTAATGACTGTAAGATGTTTTTGGTTTGGGTTTGTATACCTTTAAAGGCTCATTCAGAGGGGTGCTGAAATCAGTCCTCAGAGCTGAGCTGTTTTTCCCTATGTGTAGGATGCATAGAAATGGAGTACAGACATCTGAATGAGCCTAACCCAGGGGCGGACTGACCATTTGGAAACTCGGGCACTGCCCGAGGTCCCGGGGTCCCCATGAGATGCCCCTGGTACCTTTTTCATAGGCTTTTTTGAATTTGGGCAAGGACACAGGGGCCCCATGATCCCCTATTGCCCGGGGGCCCCATGAATTGTCAGTCCGCCCCTGGCCTAACCCAATACAATCCCCAAGGTAAACCCATCTGACAGCACCCTGTGAGGACCACACACTTTGCAACCTGATTGTACAATCACCTTTATCTCTACCAACTACTATGCAATGCAAGGGTCTGCCTGATTGGCTAGAAATCAGGTGGACAGTTTTGATAGGACAGGTTGATACATAGTTTAGGTAAATCTAAAGTTGATTGTAAAGTGTATGGTACCCCTAAGACACTGGTAGAACTTAGAAGGAATATGGCACAGCAAGGTCTAATCACCAAACTGCAGGGATTCCATCCAATCAGGCATCTGTCACGTGTTTTGTATAATCGATCAACTCCTGAATGGAAGTTTTCTGGTTCTCCTGGAACACTCACCCCGATCCTTAGCTAAGGATCCCAGCAGGAAACATATGGACACCCAAAGGCTCAGGATGATTGTACAGCAGCGATCACTCCCCATAGTCCCTGCACCGACTCTGGGTGACCCCGATAATCCCGGACTGGAGTGACTGAGCTCTGCCTGCAGCTCCGGACCGCTGACACTCTCCGTACGAACAGCAGCCTTCCCAGAACTCGTCACTCCCTGGGTGTCCTGACTGCCTACTGCCAGCGGACCGCCCACTCCCCGCCGACACGCGTTATAGTCACCTCCTGTGCCTGCGGAGCTGAGCTGTCAGTGACTCCTCAGTGCTGAGGACATGCACAGATATCACACACACTGAAATCACACCGATATCACACGCACCGATATCACACACACTGAAATCACACACGATATCACACACACCGAAATCACTCACACTGATATCACACTGAAATCACACACACACACTGAAATCACACTAATATCACACACACCGATATCACACACCGAAATCACACCGATATCACACGCACCGATATCACACACACTGAAATCACACCGATATCACACACACCGAAATCACACACTGATATCACACTGAAATCACATACACACCGAAATCATACACACCGAAATCACTCACATTGATATCACACTGAAATCACACACACACACCGAAATCACACACTTTGATATCACACCAAAATCACACACACTGATATCACACACACTGATATCACACACACTGATATCACACACACTGATATCACACACACCGATAGCACACACACCGATATCACACACACCGATATCACACACACCGATATCACACACACTCCGAAATTACACACATTGAGATCATTCACACACACTAAAATCACACACACTAAAATCACACACACTGAGTGATAAACGCAATAAAATCCAGCAAACCACCCAAAATGTTATTTTTTTGTGTAAAATACACAAAAAAACACAAAACACAGAAAAACGCGGCTAAGCACTAATGCAACAATGCTAAAAAAATGCACAAACACTCCCGTTTTTAATGTAACTATGCAGCTACTGGCACTTTTAAAACCTCTAGTGTGCATGAGGACTAAGGGCTCTTTTACACCTGCTTTGCTGTCTGCAGAGCAATATGTGTTCAGATTGCTCTTCAGAGAGAAATAGGTGGTGAGAGGTGTATTTACCAGAAAACCACCCAGTTGTGGGCAGTTACAGCGTGGGCTCGCTCACTTGGCCCCATTAACACTTCTGTTGCGTGTGACGGGATATAATTTCCTAGAAAAGCTGTTATGCTTGGAGCAGAAAGCTAAGCTGAGTTGAGTTGAAGAAGCGCAGTTTTAGATTGGCTAGTTCTCAGTCATGAGTTTGGTGAGAAGGGCTGGGGTCTGACACTGCAGGCAGAACTTTTTTTTTTAGTTTTGGATAGAATGGAGAGGAATTAGAACCCCTGTTAGTTTTTATTGCTGTCTGTGTCCCTGTTAAGGAGATTCACCTCTCTATTTGTTCTGTTTACCATTATCATTGAAAGTGAAAATAAAAGAGTAGAGGAGAAATCTTCCAATGGAGACACTAGTTCTGGTGACCTGGGGTCTCCCAAGAGGTTTCCTAAATTTGCAGGGATTTCTTCTCACTTCCTATTTGGCTATGGAACAGGAAGTGATGGAAAATCTCCCCAATGGGAGACAAGTGGCTAAAAAAAAGCCTTACAGGGGTTATAACCCTCCCAAAAAGGTTAGCTATTGTATTCTGACAGCGTGGACTTCTCTGCTGTCAGAATACACTGATCAGCACTGCAGTTGCTGATCAGAATGACATTTTTCAATCATTCCTGTTCAACAGAAGTTGGCCATTAGAGTGGGAAAGGTCCTAGATGGATCAAATTAAGTCAGTCCCTGCTGAACTGCCAAACTTCTATCCATCTATGACCAGCTGGCTTCTTTCTCAATGTCTGTACTGCTTACTGCCCTCTAAAATGTGTTCCCCAGTATAGCACAGCTGACAGGTATTCAGAAGGCGCTACTGATCCCTCCGGATATCTGTTTTTTTTATTCTACTTTTTAATTGCTGAATGGAAATTTTACATTGTGAGACTGCGCTACAACTGAGCTTTGTGTTTGGTTTGTAGTTGCAGTAACGGCACCATTGAAGTCAATGAGAGAGTCTAACAGGTGGTGCCACCTGCCAAAGTCTGCACCCCAAATTAAAAAATGCTATGAGCAGAAAGTAAAGAGTCACAGATGGGGCATGTGTACAGTCCAGTTGTATTATAACCGTTCAGGTGGGTGACCACCCTGGGTCGGTAAAACTGCAGCTGACCCAATAGTCTTTACCATCCCAGGCTGCCATTGAGTGGAAGAACCCTTAAGGAAACTGTACAGAGATTGTACAATCAGATTGTATAGTGTATGGCAAGCCTTAGAGTGTCACTTTGGGGTCTTCCTGGATGGCATCTTATATATTCATAGTTATATTGGACTAGCCTGGCACAATGGAAGAATGTATATACCTGAGCGATTGCTGTGGTAGATGACAATCACTCTAGTGGTCGATACTACTACAGTGATATTAGCAATCTTCTGGGTCCTATATGGAGCAGCTACTCTTCAGGCAGAGTGAGAACAGCAGGTCGCTTGCTCAGCATTGCCACCATTAAAAAACCTTTGTATTTTTTTCAATTAATACAAAGCATTGGATGATGTGGAAATGTTTTCCTGAATTTCCTATTATTTCCTCTGCTGACAAGATGGTAGGGAATTACTATTCAATTAGGACAGACAGCAACAAAAAGCTGACAGAGGCTGCAATCCTTCCCTGATCTGTCTAAAACTGAATCAAATGTTTAGAGCTGAAGTTTAGTGTATATTTTGGGATACAGCGCCATAGACATTAGTTATATATGATGGTGTGTATCCCATACCAGAAGGCAGCTGTGTCTCATAAATCCTCCCTGCATTTGTAAGGGGGACCCAACTTGTTTCCATGTGGGGGACACTTGTAGCTGGGTGTCACAGGTTGTTCAGGCCAAACCACATACTGTACATTTACGGATGTCAGTCCTAGACCTCCTCACCCCATCCTCCTGGTCACAACACTTGTACCCCTTCCTGCCTGGAGTACTCACACTCATAGAGCCTATTGCTGACATGAGGTTCAGACAGAAAATTCGGAAATCCAGCCAACCCCCCCCCGGCCCATGAGATATGGGGACTTGGGCCATCTAATGCATGCTGCATGAGGGGGTTCTCTTATTTTCAGACGGGGGACTCCTTCTCCTCCATCACCATCCACTCCAGCACCGACTAGGCTTGTACCAGTGAAACACATAACTACTATTCACTTCCTAGGTATTGGCTGTACCTAATACGTTTCAACAGATGATCAGAGGTTGCAGACATGATACAAGAGAGGGACACAGACTGCAGATGTGATAAGAGATGGTCAGAGACTGTGGACATACTACGAGAGAGGGACAGAGACTGAGACATGAGAAGAGATGGTCAGAGACTGTGGATATACTACGAGAGAGGGACAGAGAGACATGAGAAGAGATGGTCAGAGACTGTGGACTACGAGAGAGGGACAGAGACTGAGACATGAGAAGAGATGGCCAGAGACTACAGACATGCTATGAGAGAGGGACAGAGACTGAGACATGATAAGAGATGGTCAGAGACTGTAGACATACTACAAGAGAGGGACTAAGACATGAGAAGAGATGGTCAGAGACTGTGGACATACTACAGGAGAGGGACAAAGACTGAGACATGATAAGAGATGGTCAGAGGTTGCGGACATACTACAAGAGGAGGGACAAAGACTGAGACATGATAAGAGATGGTCAGAGGTTGCGGACATACTACAAGAGGAGGGACAAAGACTGAGACATGATAAGAGATGGTCAGAGACTATGGAAATGTTAAAAGGACTTGTTGGAGACTGGGAACATTCTTCAAGACACAGTCATAGACAGGAGACATATTACATGAGACTGCTAGAAATCACTGCTACAGTAACTCCTGGCAATGTGCAGTCACAAATAGCTGTGACTGCCATCAGCCTGCTCTTGTTTTGTATGGCCACAGCTATTTGCACACACTTGTCATTGCAGCAATCCACAGATTCTTGTAGCAGGAAATCACAGAATTTGCTAATTACCCATATGAATGTATCCTTACACCTGACTAATGTGTTTGGTGCTGTATCCCCCCAAACTATGCCAAACTTTACCAAAGTTTAAAGCATAACCTTACCTAAAAAAAGATGAAAAACAAAGCACAATAGATTTATGTTGCGTGTGGTATGTCCCTTGTGCTTCTGAAGATTTCCAATAGAAATTCCTCCTGTGATGCCCCCCCCCCCCCCCCAGCTCTGTCACCATAATCTCCTATAATGTTCGGTTGAGCAGCTGTCACAGGCACTCATCAAGAGTACCCGACTATACCTGCCGTTTCCACCCAGCTCCTCCATCCATGGAAGCCATACTACAGCTTCTATGAATGGAAAGCGATTTATGAATGGAGTACAGACAGATGATGAAAAGGTCTACCCCCAGGATCACATTTCATTGTCACATTTTATTTCTATGTAACACTGTGCATTGTTACTG